CATGCCATGCATTTTAAGAATAATAATAGTAATAATATATTAATAATCATAATAATAATAATCATAATATTCTGAATATGGAAATTAGTGGGGGTGAAGTGCGCTTCAGAACTAAGCACTTACCAATAGATTCTGGAGATTTAAATACGGAGAGAAGAAAGACAGCATAAAAATATTATTATATTCCTTATAATTTGGTACAAAGTTTTCAGTAAAAGCTTTATATACTAAATCATCTATGTCACATGTGAAAAATTAATTCTTAATTTACATTAACAGAAGGTTAATTTACACAGTTCTGCTGACAACAAGCGAAAAGTCAGTTAACAAGACGATTTAACATCACAGGACATGTCAAAAGCTGAGAATTCTGGGAAGACGTGATTAAACAACTTAGATTCTACAACGATATCTACTGCAATTGCCAAAGGAAATATATCCCAATCATCTTATTTAGGGATAAGCTTTAAACTTCATAAATTTAGAGGTTTTTGTTCTTGTGGGTTTTTTTTTAAATATCTAAAGAGAGCAAAAGAATAAACTAGGGCAGGAGGAGAGTGAAAGAACTGCTAGGGAAGTGCAAGGGGCAAAGAGAGAGAGAGCAGCAAAAGCTGGATTCTACACCAAAAGCAGACTTCTGTAGATCCAGAAAATGTAGTATTCTCAAAGCTTAAGCGTGGGCGCACACTACTGTGGCTAAATGTGTTGGAAAAATGCTCAGCCAGCAAAAAAACTTTATTCCATAGATTACTGAAGGATTTGTTTTCCTTTTTTTTTTTACAAAAAAATCTTTTTAAGGTATAATTGTGCATGAGAAAAAGTAGCGTGTTTTATGTATTTGTGAGAGGGAGCAAGATGTGTCCAAACTGGCTAATCTTTGGTGGAGTCAAATGTGGAAAAGAAAGCACAAAACACATTTTAAATTTTAATTGAAGTGTCTAATGCAAGTTTTGGTTTTGATGAATATAACCATTGGTACTCCTTGCAATTTCTGAATGAAGTCCAATGTTGAAATAAATTTGTTAAAAAAAATAAAAAGGAAAGAAGAAAGAAAGAGGAGAAAATGGATCCATCAAGTACTGCAAAAAGCAGTAAAGAAAAAAATTATCAAGAAGTACAGTCACAGCAGTGAGCAATGTGGAGTAAACAGAAGCTGCAAAACACAGAGACAGACTCTAGAAAAGGCTATGACAACATCACAGACATGAACAACACACTCAGTAACACAGAAAAGAGAGGAGGAGGAGAAATTATTACCTATAAATAAAATTTTTTTAAAAAAGGAAGGGAAAGAAAAGAAAGAAAAGGTGAGAGAGAACAACTCTGGGCATTAGTGGAAACAGTAACAAGACCCTACCTGAGCGTAACTGCTTGATGCGGCCATTGTTGTTGCTTGTGTCAACAGGTAAGAAATCTTTGAACCAAGTTATTTCGGGATCAGGATTGCCACTGGCTGCACATAGCATGGTAGCTGTACGAGTTCGTTCAACCACCTTCAGCTGTGGGCCCATATCAATGGTGGGGAAACCTCGGGGAATTTGATCCTCTGCAAAAGAAATGTATAATATTAAGGATTTCGTGTTAGTTATGTAGTAACTCATGAAATTCCCAGTCATCATCTGCTTAATGTTCAGGGGTCCCCTAACTGTATACAAGGAAGCAATGCAAGAAAGAGATATTCAGTCAGGATTTTTGGTAACTTATAGCAATGAAAATTTTGATGCAAAATATGAAGATCATAAAAAAGTGGCTGCAAAATTTACACTTATAAAATGAATTAAATTGACACAGATCATGTATGCCATGCATAACCATTAGATTTGTGCTACTGTACTCTACAACACTGGCGTTGCTCTGCTTGCATTATTTTATATGAAATACTGAACTACCATGCCTATCAACAACAGGGACAAACCCCCTCTCTTTACATTAGACAAGTATGTTAGAAAGTGTCATCACACAGTGTAGGATTTGGCCGGGGACTTAGGAGACCCAAGTTATATTTCTTGCTTTTATCATTATTACCTCTCTGCTGTTGGTCTTAATATTTCATGTCCCTGTGCTATAAGATGGGTATGACAATGCTTTACTGCTGTGAGGATGAATGCATTTTAAGATTGCAAAGCCCTGAACATTGGAGCTATGCTGATATCAAAGTTAAAGTGACAGGACATTCATAATGTATCCATTTGAATGGATGCAACTGTGTCAACAAAACCACTCTGGGTCAAAAATCCTCAACCAAGTGCAGTCGATAGCAAAATATTAAGAAATATTGAACATGAGCTATTCACTTTCTTAAGATAACACACTAGCAGATAACAATGGAAATACAGTGGGATCAGGCAATTTCTCAAAAATCAGGTACATCATCTTGCAAATAAACTTCCAATAAAATGGTAAAAATATTACTGCAAAATAATTGTTATTATTTCAGTTTATAAAGACAAACAGAAAATCAAAGAAAGAGGTTCAATACTAGCTATAAAATACCTATCATATTAAATGTCTTCATTGGTTACTGACATGTAATTGATAAAGGGATAAAATTAGAAGAAATTGTTCAGTGTCAACTCTCTTTTATGAAAAATGTGTTATATTTTCAAATAGTTTCAGGGAAGTCTTAAGACTTTTCTGAAAAATGTATAGCAAGCAAGCACATCCTATAAATCTTTAAAGTTCCTGGAGTTTGCTGTTGTCCATGAGCTACTTAACCGCTTGCAACACAAATGCCCTTAGAAACTACAAGTGCTATTCTGGTACAGTAAACACATTGGCCAGTACATTTGTACAACTCTTCGGAGCTAATAGTTCTACCAAGCAGTGTCGAATCACTAGCTGTAGGCTCTTTCAAATAAAGGTATGTTTCATGTCTGTTTATAAACACAAAGCCTTTACTTTGGGAGTAACTGACAAGATTTTTATGACCTGACCTTTCCTTTCCTACTTGGCTCATACACAAAACCCTGGAGTACCTTTTGCAAATACGTAAAAGTACAACAAAGACAATCTATCCTGAATACTAATAGGACGGAGTAGTAAAGAGTTTTCCTTTCTTATTCTTAATAAGGGTAATTAAATTCCATCCATCCCCCTTATGCACAGAATCTCTTTGAATGAATGTTCTTCATGAAATTTTCATGAGAAACAACAGAATGTAACAGATTCAAATAGCCAGAACTATTATATTTTTGACAGTTGTGGCTTGTTTCCAATCTGGCTGTCAGGTATTTGGCAATAAAACCCAATATTCAACATAAAATGGACCAGGGAAATAATGAAATTCTAATTGGAGTGCTTATCACAGTGGATTTAGTTTTTGAGATGTTAATTCCTTTTTCTTCCTCTTGTGCTTATGATTTGTACAAAACTATATTTACACTTTGATGATACTAAGTTTGACAGATCATCAAACATACCGTGCAAGAGGGCTGAGTATCAAACCAGTGGACAACAGCCTCTCAGCCACAGTAAGAGAAAAGTAACCATCAAAAAATTTTGGTATATTGGTAGCTCTACAAATTCACACGAGGTGAAAAGAAAAATATCTTTTACTGCTCATTAATATGCTCATTAGGCTCTAAACCACAGTATATTCCACTGCTCCCTATTATTCACTTTTAGTGAATTAGCCTCCAATTCATCAACAATTTAAATCAGACTTGACCTTCTCAAAGCCATTTGGTACTGTCATTTAGAGAAGCCATTAAAGGGCAGATTTCTCTGTCCTTGTGCTTAGTGAGTCAAATACGTAATACATATTTTGTTTAGGATGACAGATACAAGTGATTTAGAAATCCAGCACATTCCTTGAATTTGTGTCTTTAACAGTGCTGCATTCCATTAATGGCATAAAGAGAATGCCTTTTGTATTGTGCTAGTATAATTTCCATTTGCTGCTAACAAATGTTATTTTTCACCAAAGGTATGTTCTGAACAACAGAGAGAAGCAATTACAAGGATTGGTTACCACATGATCCCTTCAGAAAGAATGATACGAAACAGCCTCGCCTTGTTTCCCATCGTGGTTGTTCTTAACATTTCTAAACTTTCCCTCTGTGTATTCAGTATGGCCAGTGTTACTCCTCTGTAACCAAGGTCCTTGAGATCCCTTCCTCTACTGACACTTTTGTCAAAATGGTAGTTGCTTCCTTTCTAAGAAACATATATGGAAAAAGCACATTAACCTCTAAATTCTGGTGGCAGTATTGTCTGATACACATTGTCCAACACATAATTTCACGTGTTGCTGCACCTGTCTTAAAGGTGAGTCTGCCCTCACAAAGGCAACAACATTTGAAGTAGAGACTCAAACTCAGTTTTTATGTTTAAATAGTAATTCTGATGCAGTGGTATCATGAAATATCAACAAGTTAAATTATACTCTACCAAAAAAGAAACCACAGTTACTTTAAGAGTATCTATACGGAAAAAAAACCCAAAAGCACAAACCAAAACAAAATCAAACTCTCTGAACATAGCTGTGCCACAACTGTAGATCATAAACTCTATTTTTCTTATCCTTTAACTGTGTTTTGTCTCACCTTAAATGAAAAAGTATTCTTTTGCAATCTCTGTTTTTCAAATGACATAGTTCTTTCATGAGACTTCAGTAACTTCCCAAGCTTTGTCTGACGGTACACTGTCAAGTCTATGTATATACAAAAGCTATATCCAAAGAAAGAAGATGATTTAATCCAAACCCCCTACAATAGATTTGACTCTTCATGACAAACTACCCAGGAGTACATCACAGATAAACAGAAAAATATTGGTCTACATCCACCATTTGTGCCACATCTTTGCAACACTTTGACTACTTTTCCTGTAGAAAGTTATTTCAGATTGTGTCTAGGCCTTGCTGGTAGCAAGAAAAGTGGCAGCTTTTAGAAACAGATTGTGTCTAAAAGTCTTATATTCTTCATAGCAATACTGCTGAATCACATTGGCAATCAGGATCATATTTTAACAAGAAAGGAAGAACAGTGTGAATAATCTTCTCAGTACATTATGATAATATTACTATGATACAGATATGAAATGTAAATGTGAAGTACTGAAAGCCAGTTGTGATGACTTTGGCTGTGCACTATGGAGTATAAAGGTAAGGCAATAGCACGAGGGTCTAAGACTGCATGGTTGACATGAAAACTGGGTAATTTTTCCTTTCACGTTAACTATTTGCACCACCAAAAGATCCATCTATATTGACGTGTAGTTAAATCTGTGCAATCTGCCTAACTATTCAAAAAAGTAACTAACTACTATCTCTCTAACTACTATATTAACTATCTGTCTAACTACTCAAAGTGTTTCATTGTGCCTCTTAATATTGTCCTCTGCAAAACAACTGTTCTTGCTGTGGAAATGGAGGATAGCTCTCCATTTTACTCAGGAAGAAAAAAAATCTATGTCAAGATTCACTGATAGCTTTGCCACAGGCAAATTTTAGTCATTCTGTAGCTCACAGAATAAAAAGGCACACATGGAGTATTCCCAGAATACACTATAGATACTGAAGATAAATTGCTGCAGTGAAGTTTATTATTTCAAAGAACAGTGTAAATAAAGCTTTTATTTTCACTATTCCAGATGGCAGTAGCATATAATTTGCAGTTTTGACATCATGACCGTATTATTCAAAATCGTTCTTCCTCCAGCTGAACTGAACGCAGAACTGAGAATAGTAAAATCAAAGAGAGTAGGAGAGGGAGTAAAATTAACATTTTGCAGTTGGTATTCTGCACTACTTATTGGAGAACATATGAATGAAATAGAAAAATAAAACTAAAGCTGTTTCTGATAAAAGATTAATTCAGATTTAAAAGATATAAAGCATCAGAAAAGTGCCAATTAATACACATTACTAGCATTGAAATATTTTACAAGGTAAACTTGGCCAAAAAAGCAATCATGAACACACAATAAATTCTTTTCCTGGGGTCCTTTGTTCAAAGCTGCTATACAGAGTGGGATATTTTTACTTAGTAATGGCTATGGTGTTAAGAATAGATGTAGGTATCTGTTAGGATTCCTCTTAAATTTCACTCAATTATACCACACATGGAAAGAGAATTAGGCATTGCTAAGATGATCAGAGACTCACTAGTGGTAATTATTTAACAAGAGAACAGCTGCCCATACTATCCCATTAAAAAACATGCATTTAAAATTATTCTTCATATATTGGAGATGTGCAAAGCACTTTTGATGGAAAAGAAAACAGATTTGTTTAGTAGCTCTGCATGCAATTACCCTGCAAATTGCAAAATAATGTCTGTATAACAGAACATAGAGCCACTTATGCTGAATTATCATCTGTATGAATGTTGAAGCAGCAATTTCACATTGTATTAAGTCAGTTAGCATTCATTATTATTAGCATTTAGCCTTAAAAAAGTCCTCTGTTTTAACAAATGAGTGCATCAAGCCTTCGAAACTAGATATTTTTATAAGGACATGAAAATGGAGACAAGGAATTTGCACTTTTCGGCAGTTCTCAAAATCTGCTAAATTAAAGACTGTGCATGGCAAGCTCTTTCCAAA